TGTTCACCACCTCTCCCCCCCCCCCCCCCCCCCCCGTTCAAGGACTGGCGCACAGAATTTCTGTATCCTTCTCCCCGTCTCTGCTTCTCTTATGCAGTGGTGCAATGAACTCCAGGTCGAAATCGTCATCCGTTATTGTTGTGTTTTGTGACCCACTCATGTGGACAGATGGCACGCCAGCTTGAAATAACACAGCAGCCTTCTCAGCAACAGATACGGCACGGTCCAGCTTGAAGATCGAAAAACTCATGACTGTATCGCGGCTGCGGACAGATGATGCGATGTCCTGCTTTATAGAGACCAATTTTTCTATCTGCTCCGCCGCTCCGCTGATCTTTGTTGTCTGCTCCATTTCACATTGCAGAACCATCTCTGCAAAAGCCAGTTGCTGCAGGGTCACGCCAAGGTTTACGCCGTCCCTCCTCATCTGGAAAACCTTGGTGAGTGTCGTCTTGAAGGCTGGGGTGCCCCAAGGATCGTCGCCGCTCCATCTCCACGTTTTGTTCTCCTTCATCTCTGCTCGCATCTTGTTGCGAGTGGGGAGCTGGTGATCCGTTTGCTGCTATCGTACAAGCGGGATCCGTTTTTCAGCCCAGAACTAATGTTTCAGTTGCCATGTTATCTCTCCACGCATGGTTGTTATCCCGCACTCCGCTACGTGTGATCGCAGTCCTTCCTCCTCATTCTCCCCTATCTGTTTGGCCGTTGTTTACAGCGCCGTAAAAAACTCATCCTCTGTTGCGTACAGAGTTGCGTCCTTTGCTGCTGAGAACGCAAAGGCTTTTGCGACCGATCGGAACAATCTGTTCTTCATTTTCTTCGAGAATACACCGCTTTCTTGATTGGCTTGTTGCTGTCCTCCCCTGCTCGCGCACACTTTTCTTTGCAAGTTCGTGCCATCTGCTAGAAGACACACATTACAACGCACATAATAATATTACAAACTCGACATTTCCCACCCATTTTCGCATCTGCGAAATTCGACAGCCCGTTTCGACTGTTCGTTCATCACAGCGACATCCTCGCATTAAGGAAATGCCATCACTTTGCGCCGTTACCAAGTAATCGTTGTGCACGAGGAGCAACTGTAGCATATTTTGTTTACCTTTTTGAACTGCGTTGTCGTGCCTCACTACTTGTGTGTCAATCGAGGGCGCGTCGGATGCGCCTCCCTCGCTGCCACTTTCGGGTTCTCTCGTGCGTCACGTTCTTCCTGGAGATGGGGAACTCTCTCTTTCGTCCGTGCTTCTGTCGTCTTCGCCTGCCCCCTCACCGCCCTCGTCCTGCGCTGTGCCGTCGCTGCTCCTGCCGTCCTCGTCATCAGCGTTGTGAGTGTCGCGAGAATGTCTGTCAGATGTTTCACTGTCACCTCCCTCGTCACTTGTTGCCTCGTTCTCCTCCCCGTCAAACTTTTCTGATATGGACTGGTCGTGTTCCTCTTCTGCTTCCTCTCGGGCCGCGCTGTGCATATCGTTCGAGCCTCTCAAATCGATCATCTCCACCATTCTGTCCTTTTTGTACGTGATTCTCTTCTTTGTCCTGCGGTGCACCTTTGACATTCCGTCTTCCCGCGACCTCTTCTCAGGGGCCTTGGGTGGACAGTTCTCGACGCCGCTGGCACGGTTCCGTGGGGCAGGAGTCCCAGGGGGTGACTCATTGCGTTCTTTCAACTTTGAAATCTCCCTCTGACTTGATGGGAGAGTAACTTTTGATCCGTTTCTGCGGCTACTGGTCCGCTCTGTTTTTGCATTCTGGGATCCGCTTCTGCGCTGCTCTCTCGTTTCTTTTTTCTTATCAGCCTTGCATTTCTTCCTCCCCTTGTCCTTCTTTCCCACGGCCTTCAAACATCTGCACAGATCCTCGTATTTTGGCCTTCGAGCCATGACCCTTTTTTTCCCCACATACATCAAAGTGGAATACGAACAACAACTGCGTCAGCAATGTTGTGCGTTGATCCATACACCCCTGAAGTGTAATGGCCGCATTGAGAGAGAGAGAGAGAGAGAGAGAGAGAGAGAGAGAGAGA